TGTTATAGGTTCAAAACAATAGTAGCTGCCAATTTAAATGCCATAACACAGGTATGCTACTTTTTGAAACATTTGACTTGAGACAGAGAACCCTTATTGACAGCACCATAATAATAATAGTCAATGCATGTTACATATTGATTTAATTTGTTTTCCAGGTGCGACAGACACTTAAGATGTTGGAGGATGACCTAGAAGCTCATATGAGTAGGAACTGTACTTTACTTGACAACAACGTGTGTGTATATTTTTGAGGCTGAGGAGTTCTTTGGAGTTCTTTTGGAGGTGACGTGACATTTGGGCAAATCCAGTAGCAATCAGTTATTAACAAGTTGCTAATCTGGCTTGGAGGGACAAGCAAGAATGTTTGCATACATGTATGTTGTAATCCAATTCAACAATTGAGTGAACCATGAGGCCCCGACCACGTTAATGCGTGTCTAAAAGTATTCGTTTTGTCTCAACGAAAACAAAGCAGAATATCTTTTACCACACTAGCATTTTCGTTTTGTTTTCACTTATCCACTCTGATTCACTTTCATTGGACATTGCATACTTTTTGATACCTTTTCACCTATCATCCACACTAAAACCCTGATGGAAACGAGTATATATGAAGCTCTTTTAGGCACTGTTTTCAAAAGCCCCTGTTTCATTTATCCACACTAGAAACAGAACATTTCAAAACGATGCGTTTTCAGAAACCGTTTTCAAAAGCCTCCATTTTCATCAGCATTTTTGGTCATTTTAGCGTGGACGATAGGCGAAAACGCATCAAAAAGTATGTGTTTGCAAGCAACAAGTGCATCAGTGTGCTCTGGGCCTAAATTGTCTGTTAGTAGCCCCTGGATTTCTCCAGCCCTGTTAAAGAGTTTTTTAGTAGCAGTAGTGATAACAGGAAGTAGTTGTCAAGATTGGTGAACTTAAACTTGTATGAAATAAGCGGCAAATAGTTTACTGTGGGCCGCAAAATAGCCAGGGCACAAAAAATAAATACTTACTTCTCTTTCCAAGTTCACCACATGTGAGCTCTGCCTGTTAAAGGCTTGAAATGAAGAAAATAATGTTGCTACATTTAAAAATATTTTGACCATTTACCACCTGACAAACTCTTTTTAGTATAAGAGCTTAGTGTATTTATTTGGATCCATAATTTTTTATACAGTCAAATATTTATTCAAGAACAAAGTATTTTGTATTTAAATTGGTTAAAGTCAAAACATCTACTTAAACATTTGTATATATAATTAATTTGTAACTGATAATACTTAAAGTTTGTTGACGCAAAGCTTTTAGCTAAAACTAGAATGGAAAAATATGTGAATTTGTTGTGTGAATCTATTTATAATGGAATGTTCGGAATGTGTAAAAAGGATCGATGACAAGGTAACCTTGAACAAAGGATTCATTGAGAACTGACAATGCAGGCATTATCTTTTCTCTTCTAAGCATGCATAGCCAAGTTGCCTTTGTCGTCAAATGTGAATTTTTCACAAAAAACGTGTGACTTTTTGAAATTAAACTTTTTAAAAGGGTTGTTTCAGTATTTGTTATCAAACATTATGAGGTGTTAAGGGAATTTCTGTGTTAGGTGCATTTTTATATCAACATGTAGTTTCAATCAAAATTTCATAATTTCTACTATGTAAAAATCATTTTACGTACAAAACAATAGAATGCAAAGTCAAGTTAAGCCTGTGAACAGGCTCCTGATCGCGTCGTAAGGCAAAAAAAAGAAAGAAACCGGGGAGCAAAGCTAGCTTAGTGTGGTCTAGGGTGAGCAGAGAGAGCGGTTTGGGAAGAAAAATTGCCCTTGCTCGCTGCATAGTTTTCTGTGCTCCCCAGGAGCCCATTCACAGTTGAAGTCAACTTTCATCTGAATTTTCTTGTAGAAATTATTACAATAGAGTAATTAAACCCAGTGAAATAAGAATCAAGAAACATAGATCTATTAAAACAGATAGAATTAAATGGATTTAGAATACAATGATAGAAATTGGGATAATTAAGGAAATTGTGTTGTCAGTAAAATAATGGAACAGGAAAGACTGAAAAGTGAAATAGTTGGTTTGAATTAATAATAAAAATAATATAGTTTGATTATCTTCATTGTGGTCTTGCCCAGTTTCTTACATAGTGTTTCCACTCAACAATCCATCAGTGGACAACTAGCCCTTATAATCTCTTGAAAGATCGAAGTCTTATTTCTCTGTACATTATCAATACATTTTCAACCAGACAGGTGACGAGAATAAAGAAAATCATCAATCAGGAGATACGGTCTTGATGTGACACTAAGTTCAGTGAACTAACTAAAAAAAACATCAATGGTAATCAAACCAGTGATAATCAATTCTCTGGATAGATCTCTTCACATTTTATATACAGTTGGTCCCCGCTTATTCAAAGTTGGTTTATTTCCAACTCAAAACCAATTCCATTAGATTTGTCCTTCAGT